CCAAATGATTGTCCGAAAAAGATYAAAGGTCGATCAAGTATTAAATCAAGTTCGGAAGACAAAGAGATGGTTAAAAAATACATTCCAATGATCTGCGAGTTGTGCACATTTTTCAGCGAGGACTATTCTTCAGTTAGAAAACACTTCCRAAAACAGCATCCAAAAATAARATCATACGTAAGATGTTGCAATAARAAATTATTTCACCCTMTTGAGATCGTACGTCATGCGTATAAACACGACAAYCCTGAATTCTTTAGGTATGTTAAATATATGCCCTATGTTATAGTTTATAAATCTAATTCCGTTAAAGGTGTAAAGACTGTAAAAAAAATTTTGCGGAACAGTCAACACTCTCCCGTCATATGATAACTGCCCATGCACCAGAGGAGGAACTAAATTACAATTGTGACCAATGTCCTAAGAGATTTCCTTGCCAAAAGAAACTTGAAATTCATAAAAACTCGCATGTGCCCCAGAACGAGCGAATATTCGTTTGTGACCTATGTCCTAATAGTCGCTTCGCCAGTAATGATCTTTTGAAAATTCACGTATGCATGCGGCACCGTCGACCAACCAATGTTTGTCATGTGTGCGCTAAAGAGATACGGGATAAAGCATCATTTGAAAAGCATGTGCGATCGCATTTCGATGATGGTGGTCCAAAGGTAAAATGCACATTGGATGGTTGTGATCGTTGGCTCAAGGATGAAGATAATCTTCGACGACATATACGAAGATTGCATACCAAAGATCAAAAAGCGGTCACATGTGATACATGCGGACGGGAATGTAAAAATCAAGATGCTTTAACAAGACATAAATATCGGGTTCATTCAAATATTGTATTTACCTGCGAGGAATGCAAAAAGACTTTTAAGCGAGCGATTCATTTGCGGGTAAAAATTAATTCATTTATAATAATTCTATTTAATTTACTCTATCAACGCGTAATTAAGTAAATTTGTCTTCATACATATTTTCAGGAACATATGGCACAACATACTGGTGAAATTCTTTACAAATGTCCATTTTGTACGCGTACTTCCAATTCAAATGCAAATATGCATTCGCATAAAAAGAAAATGCATCCCCTAGAATGGGAGAATTGGAAAAAAACAAATAATGGAAGTTCACAGCAGATATTGAGTAATCAACAGGAAAATACACAAAGCTTGTATTCATTATATAACAATTAACACATAACCATAGTAAATGTTTTTGAATTAAATATACACACATATGTACAGTTAGTACAATAGCGCTTGGCTGCGGATATTTGATTATTATTAAATATGTCTAATGACTCGACATTTTATATCACAAATGCGCTCCAGCCAGTTATTGTGGTGTAATCGCTATATTTTCTAAGATTTAAGCGCTAATGTTTTGGCTAGGCTATTGAGTTTTGAGTTTTAAGGCTTTCATTTGCAATAAATTTGTATATTCAGTGGTGACCTTACAATTAGGAAGGATATGCTAGAAAAAATCGTGCACTGTAAATTATGAGTGCCGTTATTCATAATGTACACAATGAACGAGTTTTGTAAGGTAAATACATGACAATTTACTAATTGGTTATTAAAAAAATCAAAATTTGCCGGTTTGTGTTTCTTAGCTGGTCATGCAATTAGAAACGTGGAGTTTTTATAATCTTGCACCCAGTTGCTACAGAGTATTATAGTTTTGTTCACCTAAAGGTTGTATGTATCACCTAAAACTAAACGAGGTAGATATAGGGTTATGTATACATATATACATAAATGATCGGGATGACGAGAAAAGTTGAAATCCGGTTGACTGTCTGTCACTGACTGGTGGAGTCCGTTTACGATTTCTCGTGAAGTAAGGGCAAGAGTAGGATATCAAATTAATGAGGAAATTCGGACGATAAGAAGGCATTTACAAATGAAATGTAAAAAATTCCCAATACTGCATTAGAGTACTCTGGAGTGACAAGTACAAGTTCAATTTTTTCCAATCGGATGGAAAACATAACCCTGAACTCCAGGTACTCTGTGGAATCAGTATAACATGGCGGAGAATCTGCGCTGTCGTCCACCATGTCCCTATCTCACCCCATTTGAAAACTTATTGGCAATTGTGAAACAATATCTTAAGGACGAAAACCCACGAAATAATAACGAATTATCTCAAATGGTGGGTTTCACAGGTACAAAAAAAGGTATTTTTAGGATTTTTTTTTTTTTTTAATACGAGCAATCATATATTTGAAAAATATAATATTATATGTTATCCCAAAGGTATATATTCGATCAATATCTCCTGAAATTTCGATACAAAAATGTTGAAAATTCCGCCGTTGGGACCGCATTTCCCTGAGTGTCTCTCAAAAAAGTGCTCTCACCGTGGACAGCATAACTTATTATTGGTTCATATAAAATTAAAAAACTGATCTTTTGAACGTAGGAAATTTTAAAATTGTCCTTTTTTCTCGGACTTTAAACAAGAAATCTCATTGTTGGTAAAATTTTCGTCATTTTTTTGATCAAAAATAAGTTGTAATGAAACAAGGAAGAATCCTTCGTTCAATAACTAGATAATATTAACTAAATCGGTCGAAACCTTTTCGAGAAATCTTGTCCACCGACTTCAAAAACACAGTTTCGAGAAAAACGCGTTTAAAGACAGGGCACTTAGCGCAGCTAGCCTTGAGTGCACAAGTTCTCAAGGCTGTATCTCCGAAATTATTACTCCGATCAACTTTAAAATTTAGGACTATATTCTAGAGGTATTATTATTATTATTTTTTGTTTTTTTGGAAATTTTCAAACCCACCTAACCTCTTACACAAAGCTGAAACAGTAGTAAACATGCCAACATTTAAGTCAAAGTTTACTTCGAAGACTGGATGAACACATTTTCACAATGTTATCCAACAAAATATTAAAAATCTAATCTATTTTGTTCAATTTTATATAGATATTTTAAGTTATTACTATCGTTTCTTATCAAAAGACCAGACAAAATTTGTTTTTTTATGTTTAGCTCATTTTCTTAAAAATAAGATTAATGTTGTTGTTTTTATGTAAAACTCAAATAAAATGTGTTGCTATATTAATTTCAATTAATAGTTTTAATTATTTATCGCAGTCAGTTCTAATTATTGTATAACAGCACCATTGTATACTTGTATTAYATTTTATTCAATTATAGATGCACTTTGATCTTCAGTCTATTGTACCCTCCCTCTTTTATTACAACACTTCGTCTAACCCAATCGCAGTCGCCTAGCTTGACTATTTCTTTTTAGAATTAATAATTCAGCAATTAGTAATATAATTTTTTTTTTTTTTTTTTATTAAGTACTTTAAGTGAAATAATGCTTTGAACTTTACATTATATTTCAACTGTCATTGAAATTATCAAACTGTGACAAAGAGGACAGGTATGATGTCGTGAGATTTCAACTGGGATGGCACAATGATGACAAATGCCACAAATCCAAATATTGCTGGTGGGTTGAGTGATGGGTTTGCCTGATGACACACATGCAGGAAAGCGAACACCACAAATGCTACAGGCTGTCAGCCTAGAAAAGATTTATTTATTTTACTACACATGTCTATGGAGATATAAAAAACTGAAGATCCGAACCTTTCGGGTACCGGCGAGTTGCATGCGTAACATTTAACCATTTCATTTCTGGTATCTTCAGATACATACTTTGAAGAAATATTTTCCGCGAGCCTTTTATATTCCTGAACTCTACATTCTGGTATACTCTCCAAGCATTCTAGCTTGCTAAAAGCCTTGATGCATGTACCTAACGTTAATTTTTGTTTCGTCAAATTAATTTCAATAACAAAATATTTAGTACCCACCAAATGATCGATCTGCACAGCAAGAAAGCGCGAGTATATTATATACATCTTCTGTTGGCAAGATATCATCGTAATCGCACAAGCGCAATGCAGTAACAACAGCATTGCGTGTAATACCAAAACGTAACTGACGCTGTGCCAACATCCTGCACAAAATTCAATATAATAACATATCCACAAATGTATTTATATGTATTAGTACTTGTGCTTACATAAAATGATAAGCTTCTGCTGCACGCCACATATGTTCTACGACGTGTGCATCTTCTGGACTCATAGTATCCAATATGGAATTTCTATCCACTTTGTAACTCAACTCTGCTGTACTCAATGATTTTAGATGTTCCTCGGATAATAATGCAGCTAGAATATAGAGCTTTTTAATGCGTAGCATGCTGGAGTCCTTTTCGACTTCCCGTTGTGCAAGTTTACCTAGCAAGCGCGCGGCTTCCAAATAAAATCCAGCTTTCTTTTGCAGTTCAATTGCTTCTGGTAAACGATCCTCTTTGATGAGCTGAGCTGCATGCTTGCTTAACAATTCTCCAATTTGTGGCATATCGAATTTACGAGCAAGCTGCACCGCCTCACCCCATTGTCGCAAATTAACACAAACCTTTACTGCCGATTTAGGATTGCCCATTTTTAAGTACGCCTTGACTGCCTCTATACACATTCCTGTRAATGAGTGAAGCTTAATTACTTCATATTTATGGTATGACCTATGTATCAATGTTACTTACCAACTGATGCCAACATCTCGGCTATTTTTGCTAATMATGGACTTTTTTCAGGCAATTTATCAATGCATTGTTCCAATTCATCAAATCTCTCAAGATGGTAAAGCGCGTCCATTAAACCTTCTAAGTGATGTGATTTTTCATAATATTCCTTTGCGCTCTCCCTGTGAACAGTTGAGTAAAAAAAGCTTATTTATTTTCGAAATTTGGTGACATCTTGTTCTTACCAAGAGCGTAAACTTGCAAAATGATTGCCAATTTCGCGCCATGCGGTCTCCATTTGTTGGTCAGATACTCCCGAACCCATACGATAAAGTTGAACAGCACGAAACCAGTCGCATAGAGTAATACGTAGATTAATAGCCAAATCTCTGTTCCCAAAACAAGATAATATACATACAGAAAGATTTTATCCAAATATCCACGATTATAGTGGCCTTATTTTAGTTACGTACGTACCTTCTATCAGCATCCATGTATAATTTCTCTGCTTCCTCGTACTCGCCATAGAAAGCGGCTACTTCGGCTTTTTGTAACATGCGTGCTGATATGTTTCGCATGCGTTTAATTAATTGAATTCCCTGATAATTAGCACTACGCACAAAAGCTGCCTCAGCCAATAAGCGCCATAAACGCGGATGTGGATTATCTTCAATGAACTGCTTCGCGTCTTCTAAGCCCACRTGCTGCAACAAATCATCAGTGTCACGCAGCGACTTAACTCGCAACTGTATAATATGATTAACGGAATTTTGAGTCTCATCACCACTAATTATGTCATCGAGTAAAACACTAGTAATCTCCAAATCTTCAAAAGCACATATATAACCGGAACAAGAAATAGGTTCTTCGGGATCATTGCCACGAAATACATACATGCGTGTCTTTTCCATTAATGCGAGTAATAAAGGATTATCCTTGGCCCAGCAAACGGCCCAAACATMCTTGCGTTCAACTCGACTGAAATTCAACTGTGATTGATGATCATCGTCCAAATCAAGCAACGTCATAACACCAACATCATCTATAACGGCTGCACGACTAGAAAAGGGATTTTACTAGATTTTATTACATACAATAAAATTAATTACTGGGAAGAATTTTACATACCTGGAATTACAATTAATTGACAATTTATAAGGCTTTGAATTAATCTTATGACGATTTCGAAGCGCTACGTTCGGCACACTGTACTCATTTATAGTACCCGAGGAACGTGCCACCAATAATATCTTCTCGGACATGGCGAGTGCGCATATGGGATCTATGTTAACGTGTTGCTTGTAAGCCTTTTTATCATAACTTGCGCCCCCTGTTGCAATTACTAAGTCTTTGGCCATTTCGACCCCAGTTGGCGTGTCGTCTATATGAAATCGATTCTCTTTACGCCCCTTCACTCCATGCAAATTCGCTGCACTCTACAGATATAAATCGATAAAAAATCTACATACGCTATGAAATTATAAAGTGGAACCTTACTTTAGGAGTGTTGTATTGCCAAATGAGCACTTCATCGAAAGAGGATATTGCTACGTGTCCAGAATTAATCGCAACAAAATTTGGTTTCATATCAGTGTATTTCGCTGTCAAAATGAGGCCGAAAGAAATAACCTTAGTTTTGTGGTACATTTTGGARTTAGATCTGAACCACTATCTTGTTCTTTTATATTGGTCGTCAAACGTCACTTAAGTGTATATTCTCTTCAAAAATCGACACAATTTTCAACTAAAAAATTGTGAACTCTTTAACCATTAATATGGTATAAAAACCACTTTAGGTATATTGTATTAAAATTATTAACAGAATGATATAAGAAAATATTTGCAAACGCGAACAAATTGTGTTCTCCGTCGCTTTTAATTGAGTAGATTGTACTTCTTTGTAGTTTTATGCAACTCAGACCAGAAGTTTTTAAGATTACAAACGAGATAACCATAACTCTTAGTATGTACAGAGATGAGATACTTGAGATTTTATAGGCCTATCTTCGTCGAGACTAGTAGTATATGTATGTTGTTGGATAGTATCACAAAATACTTCCTCGATAGTCTTTGAAAAATCAGAACTTTCCATACACCATAATTTGGTCTTAATAACATCAAAGTATTATAGATACAGTGTAGTTTAAATAATTTTTTTTTTTTTTTTGCGGAAATATCATTTCATAAAACGCTGGTTGTAACTAGAATTGGATCACTTATTTGTATAGCCTCAAGATAATATTATGTTTGGAATTTTACCRTTGTGAGGACATCAGTTTTGTACTTACAGTCCACAGTGGTACCAATAGAATTACACAACATTAATTGRTAGCATTTATCGTCGCTCTGAATTGGATTTGTTGAAATAGTTACAATGTTTTCCTTCATATTACTATTTAAGCATTCTACAGCTAAAACACAATGGTCGTTGCAAGCAGCCATCCCCAATGCTGGCTCGACTTCCTTTAGGAAACTCTGAAAATATTTATAATATACTACATTGCACTATACTATACTTTTAATACATATTGACTTGAGTTATGTATACGACACCTGATTAGAAACTGTATTCCAGAAAGTGATAATGTTGGTCGTTGAATTTCGCGTATGATTGGTACTGCTTTTATTAAGAAAAACAATCGTTTTTTCAAAATAACACCACATATAATCTGGACGTATATTTGCAAAATATATGAATGAATCGACAGCCATTGCAATGCGTAGCGATTTTCCTTCCCATGAAAGTGAAGAGATCTCATTCCCTGGAACCTTTAAGGTGCGTATCAAATGTCCGAATGGGGAGTAAAAATTTACTTGATTCGATTCTTTCGAAGTATTGAAATCTATAAGAATTCCACAAACAGAAAGCACAGAACCATCTTGATTCCACTCAGCAGCTATATTTCGCATACTTGTATCGATGATAACTGGGGCTAAATTAATAAAARCACATAGGCATAAGTATATATTTCAAATTTTGATTGCTCACGTGTAATTTACACAAAATTACATACCGTCATCGCTTTCATTTCGCATAATTTGCAATTTGCACGTCTCAAAACAAATAGCTAAAACTGGTCGGTTGGATGGTGCCCRTCCGCTAYACCAACAAAGTGCCGAGATTCTAAAATTTCTATTTGGACTAAGGGTGACGCACTGTATATTTAGCTTCATCTGKTCTTGGTATGTAATATATAGATTTGTATACGCTAAACTATTGAATATACTACAATAGTCATATATAACTACTGACCGCAAAATTTCCTTGGTTGTCATAAAGATGACATTCACCATTAGCCAACCCAAATAATATTAAACCATTATCTGGACTCCATTGCACACTAGTTAAATGAGTATTCTTCAGCTCCTTCCCCCAAATACGATTTCCATCAACAGAGCCTTAAATTATGTAGCATATATCAGTTTAGGTGTGAAAACTGGAGAAATCGGAAAATGTGAGAATATTATTTAAATCTTCATGTTGGTCTTGGACTTGTGATGTACGTTAAAGACGTTTACGATTCATCACTAGTTTATACGTTAACCAAGWGATTCGAATCCAAAACCGTGAATGACCACATTGCGCATGCATTCAATAACTACCTTATATATACAAACCTACAATGATTGCGCCATCTTCGTACATTATGCATATTTTAGCTCCATCTGATGTCCAACACATGCTATTAACGGTCGATTTTTTTCGGTCATTAGTCATCTCTTCGTACCAAGAACCCTTGTAGATCATCCAAACCATAATCACGCCATCCAAATCCGAAGAAGTCAATTTCTGCTGACTTTCGTTCCAAGTGACCACTTTAACCCCTTCCTTATGCCCGTCCAGAGTTTGATTCATAGACAAATTTGATACAGCAGCTAGATTACCCTTATTTGGACCGCTGGACGCTGAAAAATGGAGGCGGTAATAAGTTAGATAAAAAAAAAATAATATAGCACTACCTTGTTCTAGTTTCAAGACCTTAAGTAGTCCCTCAGAACCAGCGACTGCTATATACCCGTGCTATGCTTCCAAGCTATGCAATTTAATTTTACATTGTTCGGTATAGCAATCTAGATGATATGTTTATTAATTTTTTTTTTATTGGGGTGAATATCATACGTATATATTAAAAAATATAGACCTTTTTGCTTAAATATACAAACATGTTGCTCAATTAAAGTATTGGTTGCTATCTTTCGATTAAATTGAACAAAATTGTTTCAATGTCCCAAACATACAATAAAACTTGTYCCCATGGCGATTACGAATGTTTACTTCATGTTTGTTTTGTTTATCAAGTGTTGTTTTTCCCACCTGCAGAGAAAGTGTATTATAATCAACATTCTATGCCACCTGTTTGTGATTTGTTATGTTCACCGTTAAGTAATATTTAGGATACTGACAAAACTAATTATAATTATCTGGCAGCACTAATATATCTGGAACAGTATTTAAGTTTTTAACAATTGTACAGAGAAAATTTCATTATTTATGTACATCATTGGACAAAAAATACTATAATTCAACTTTTAAATATAATTTTTAAAGTGTGTACCGATTAGCAACAAACAATTGCCACCAGGATGACAGAGCATGCTAATAATCCATATGATATGGATAGCTCGGCATTTGATTCTGAAAAATATTTGGAAAAGTTATTAAAGGTAAAGCCATACACACTTATTTCCTATGAGAGTGTTTCGTAAATTTTTGTTGTGATTCACAGGATTGTACTTTAAAACAAATAATGGACACTGAAACTGCGGTAATAAAGGACACTCAAACGCTACATTCCGATATGCAGACACTCGTCTATGAAAACTATAATAAATTCATATCAGCAACAGATACTATACGAAAAATGAAAAGCGATTTCAAGGAAATGGAATCGGATATGAATTTGCTGCGCAATAAAATGAATTCCATAACATCGTTTAGTGAACAAATTACAGATACATTACAGGGGACTCGTTCGCAACTGTGTCGTCTTTCTGAAAAACACTCGCTACTTAAACGTCTGCAATTTTTATCCTCTCTGCCAGCAAAATTGAAGGGTCTAATAGAAGAACAGAACTACGCTCAAGCTGTTCAAGACTATTTACATGCACAAAAGGTGTTTGCACAATATGGTCGACAACCCTCATTCGATGGCATTCAGAGAGATTGCGCATCAATATTGCTCGACTTAAAAAGCCGTTTGAGGAATGATTTTCAAATGGCGAGTAATTCAGCTCAATCATTAAGTGAAATTGGTGAATTATTATTGCAGTTAGATGAAAAACCAGCAGATTTGGCTAATGAAATGCTGACTTGTGCTGCAAAACGTTTGCACGAACAAATAGTACTACTGCAGGTATTTGTAATATAATTTATGTTGATCTTTACATAAATGGCTTAATGGTTGTTATATAACAAGGATCAAACTGAACGAGACATGATTGAATTTGTTGATATGGGTATARAAGGATTTCTCAATGACCTAACATTAGTGGTTACTTCATATTTTGATATGTTTGTAACAAAAAKCTATGATAAAGAAAGGTAAGATATGGGCTATAAGTTTTTCAAAAGTGCCTTAAGAATTGCAAATAAGTCCTTATATAWCTTTAGCGATGATTTTCAAGAGCGTTCCTTGCGCCAATTAAACGTATTTCTAAACCAAAATATTGACAAATACTTGACACTCGTTCATGATCGTGTTGAATCAGATATTGGTTTTGGTGATACGCAAATACTGCTTCGAGCCCTTGATCGCCTTCATAGACGCCTTCTGGCTATGCGCAATATTTGTCGTGGTTTGGAAATACAACGTAACACAGTAGACATCATAATCGCAGCTGCACATCAACTTTGTGAAGCACATTCTAAATCATTAAAAGATCACTTCTCCGATAGCCTTAGCTCTGTACGTTTGGCACTAGTTTCAGCAAAAAGTGACAATAATAATGGGGCAAATTTAAATGAATTAATTACTAATTTGTATATGTCAATGCTGGAAAAGGTAAAAGGAGTGCTACAAGATTTATTAGTATTTCTGCAGACGGATTGGTCATTCAATATTAAAGCAGATTACAAAGGAGTTCTATGCGTTGAAGGCATACGGGAGAGTTTATTAATTGGTAAATATATATTTTGGTAAATATAAAGAAAGACTTCAATTGTTATTACATATAGAATATCAAATTTTTCAGGATTCTTGCGTCATATTTCTAAAATGATGTGTTCTTTTGCTGAAATCTCTAGTCCTAGTCCTCCAAATCTTCTCTTGGTTCTATCAAAAACATGTGTTGAAATGGAGCAAAATGGTGTACATATTCTGGTAAATTCTAAGGTCTACAGTATTTACAAAAATTAATATTACTAGTTTTTATTTTAGATCACTTTGGTTGACGATTTATATGAAATTGATTCAGAAAACAGTGCAGTATTATCTCATGAAACCGAAATTTGCGCAGAAATGCGCGAAACTGCACAAACACTATTAGATGCATATGTTCGTTTGCAAGGCACAAATATTTCACAGGTATTACAATTTGTATATATAATACATATTTATATGTATATACATTATAATCATATTAGATGATGAGGAAGAGCGTAGAAACTCGTGATTGGCTAAATTGTCTTGAACCTCGTTCAGTACGGGCTGTAATGAAACGGGTTGTGGAGGAGCTGGGGTCAATTGAAACTGTTGTGGCTAGCCTTTATGAAGCGGGCGTTAGGACGACAGCAAGCAGTGATTCTAGTCGTAAAACCCATTTTAGCACATTAACAACAACTAAGCAACATCATCGTTCTAATTGGTCGAATTATACGCCATCACAATTAGAATCTAACTATGTCTCGAATATTCATCGATTATTTTCGGAGCGCATTGACATATTTACTAATGTTGATTTTTCAAAGGTGTCCATTGTGACTGGTATCATTAAGATTGGCTTAAAGGTAAATTAGTTTGGTGAATATCTTAGGATTGTTCGTTTTTCTTTACAATTATGCATATATTTTTAGACTCTTTTGGAATGCATACGTCTTCGCACATTTAGTAAATTTGGCTTGCAACAGGTACAAGTGGATACTCATTATCTGCAAATGAATCTTTGGCGATTCGTCGCTGATGAAAAGTAAATATCGTATGTCATATAATGTACTAATGATTCCTTTAAAAAAAAGTATTTTACGAACTTATTTCAGTCTTGTAAATTTTCTGCTTGATGAGATACTCGGATCCGCTGTACATCGATGTTTAGAGTCGATACTTATGGAACCGATTGCAGTCGAAATAATATGCGAGCGAGGTTAGTATTATCTGTTCCAGTTCATTGCTTTAAAAACAAATCATAATAAATAATATAATCAATTACTGAATATCACTAATTATTTTAATTTTCTGTACAATTAATATGCTAGCCTAAACATGGATATATCTAAAATTGCACAGATTTGTATTTGATATAAAATAAAAATTTATTTCAAGTACCTTATACTAATTTATTGTAAAAATTATACTATTGTCGTTCGGATTCGCGTCTTCGTTATCACTGAAACCTTCTGTTGTCACTAAAATGTTGTGTGTTTCTCTTCCATCGTCTGATTTAATCATAATTACTTGTGGCATAGAATCATCATCACTGCTGGTATCGACTTCTGTAGCATTTTGACTATTCGGAGATTTTGTTTCTGTTGATTTGYCTTTATCTATCTTATCAATATAAACATCTGGTTTCCCAGCATTTTCACGTCGCTGTTTGCGGGTCTCTTCGAACTCTTTAGGATGCATTTTCTTGCGATGTGAATGCATATTTCCATTGGAATTAAATGTTTTAGGACAGTGTGGGCAGCTGTATAACACCTCGCCTGTATGCGTGGTCATATGTTCCTATAAAACACACACATGTATATATATGTATATATCACTATAAGTAATTAACGAATGCATATTTTAGAAAATACCTTTAAAGATATAGCTTTTTTGAAAGCCTTCTTGCAAACGCTACACTCGAAAACGCGTTCAGATTTATGAACATAACGTTGATGACTGAGTAGGGMGCTGCGATTTGGCGCCACCTTTCCGCATATACTACAAATGTGTAAGGTGCCATCGTCGTTATGACGTCGCTTATGTTTCTGTAAACTATATTTATCTTTATGCCATGATCCACACTTTTCGCATTGAACTTTCGGCAAAACAATACCAGAATGCTCCAACTGATGTCGGGCAAAAGCTGTGCGCCCCCTTATGACTTTCGCACAAACATCACACATAGTGGCACCATAACTCGAATGCATTGTTTTCATATGTGTGCTCAGCATGTTGGCTGATGCAAACCTTTTGAGCAAAAGAAAACTTATAAATACACTTTTAGAATTGCGATAACGGAAACTATATTTACCCTCTTTTACAGATATCACAAATGTGACTACGTTCTTCATGAATAAGACGATGTTGTTCAAGGATATAGGGACGTGCAAACCGTTTCGGACAGTGTTCACATTGATACTGTTTTTCTTCTTCCGGCTGGTGTTTGATCAAGAAATGGTTACGCATACATTGTTTATCAGCAAATGTTTTGTCGCAAGACTCACATCTGGTCATAGAAAATTTTTAACAATCAACAATTACATTKCGATTCAATATATCATCTTATTAGTTTACCTATAACAATCTGGATTAATATGTTTTTCTATATGTCCCACCAAAAGGGYTCGTTTATGAAACTTTTTATTGCAGCAAGTTGCGTAACCTTTACATTGGTGAATTTTCTCCATATGTTTTCTTAATTGAGAAAATGTCTGTTGTTCCGTTGCACAAATATCGCATACTAAACGTATACATTGCGCGATTTTTTCATCAATTAGACGCATCCGTTCCTCGTAACTTTCCTGTTGCGAATCATCACCATCATTTGAATCAATTTTAGATTTCGTTTCCCCTTTTTTATCCCTTGTTTCACTTTTAATTTTAGGTGGTCGACCTCGACGTTTTCTATTTCCAAAATCTGCCTTTTGACATTCATTGTCCACTATTTTCAATTCAAGTTCTGATGTTCTTTTGATGTGTTCTGAAATTTTCTTTGTTTTAGAGCGAGTGGAACGACGCTGACACTCTAGCGGTAAGGCAAGTGCATCTGAAATTTATTATATATAAGTATTTAGCAAATATTTTATAGTTTGATTTTTWATTTAYAAAATTTATCACCTTCGCTTTCTTCCACAATGCCCATTACTTCTTCCATAAATGATTCACTATTTATGTAAGGCTCATCATTTTCTACAGACTGTTCACATTTCAATTCTTTCGATTCCACACAGTTTAAGCCTTTGACAGCAGGCTTTTCCGGTGTAATGATATTTTGTTGATTGTTTATTTCGTCATCATCATTACTGAAGTCGTTTTTGGGAATTGTGGTTGATAAATTTTGTTCTAACCATTCATTGACATCTTTTTCATCGGTTATTGAATAGTTACGCTTCCTACGGCAATTGGGCTCTATATCGGTCTTTAATGAAAATCGTTCTGTTAATAGTCTATGAGCTTCCTCGACACCTAAGTAAAATTCATTGAAATTGGAAACGCTAATCCAACACGAATTGCATATTGCTGTAGATATTGGGTCATCACTCCTTGGCTAAAAAAATAAGCCTTTTGATAAAGTTGACAAAGAAGATGTTTTGGCAACCTACCTCGAACCAGAAGTATTTAGCAAGTACTGCAGCCACATTCAATTCAATACCTATCTCGTCAAAAATATTAATTACATTTTTAAAATGCTTCAGGCACAATCTACAAATCATTTTTATTTGCTTTTATGTCCTAAGGGTTATTTAAAATTTGACAAAGCTCTGCCAGCTATTAAAACTGAATAAAAAAGAAAGTACGAATCAAACCAGCCGTAAACAAAACTACAGTCTTCTAACGTGTTGCCACTTAACAAAAAAAAAAAAAAAAAAACAAGCATAAATATTAAATAATAACATATAAAATAATTTGATTTAAAAAAGTGATTTACCCACTCCCACTTTCCTTCCGGAAAAGTCGCTCTCTTGAACATTTACCCAAAATAATACCGAATTTAATTTTTGATAGAAGTGTAAAATTGCAATTTATATTATTATGCATTAGCGTGCTTAATTTATATTTACTTGCGCTTTTGACCCATGTTAATGCAAGTTTGTAATGCACAACAATTTCGTGCATTTAGCTGAATTTGACCAATTTGAGTAGGCAATACTGCTCAAAAATGACCGATTTTTGCTATTTTTTTTGACAGATGTCGCTTGAAGTCTGCTGCCTCTTTCCGTTTTCAGCATCAGAGTTAAACAGTTTTATATTGCTAATTAAATTATGTACAAGTATATTAACAAAAACAAATTTTAATATTTTTAGATGGCAGAAAATAAACACTGCACAGTTTGCTATTTATTTTTCCAATATTCTTAACTTTTTCGCACACTTTCTCTGCATTACAAATAATTATTGGTTTTAATTTCACTCTACTACCTTTTGTCGTAGTTAATTATAAACTAATTTTTTCGTTAAGCTGATAAGGATTTTCCAAAATTACCAAAACTTCTATTATTAATTTATCTTATTCATTTTTGTTTTACTTATTTTTTTTTTAAATAAATAAACAAATTTCACTATCAGCTGTCTAAATGCACAAGTCTGTCGTCTGTCACCATAAAATTTCAATGCCCATTAGCGTTGCTTAAAGCCCATTAATTTTGCTCGTTGTTGTAACGGCAGAATTCTGCCGAGTTGACTGGATAAAAATCCGGGTCCGTTCCGGTTTTCGTAGACCCGATTGTCGTGGGAACGGGCAGGGTTATACGTTCTGCTCGTCTGTCAGGGCTATATGTTGAAAGAATTTTAAAAAATGAATTTCAGATCGATAAGATAACCCCATTTCTAAGTAATTTAATCGATATTTTAATATTATAGAAGAAGAACGATTAGCTTAAATCTTTGGGGACGAAATTTTATTGAATTGTTTTTTTTTTTAACTCTGCTGGATATTTATTTACTAAATATGAAGGTAAATATTAAAGTGATCTGCTTCCACTACAATATGACGTACTTTTTATTCATAGCGTATTAGTGAAAAGAAACTGGAAGCTTTCGCCGTTGGGAACATGGGCAAACGCACCCTCTCCAAAAAGGAAATTGAAGAACAGAAGAAAAAAGAAGATGAAGCTGCCGCGGCACATGTAATCAGATATTTATTTATATAAGAAGTATATACTGTACTAAACTTCCTTCTTATATGTGTCAGGTATTCAAAGAATTTGTGGAAACATTTCAAGAAGCACCTAGCGCTTCCTCCAAAGTATGGGTGAAAGCCGGTACCTACGACGCTGGTTCAAGACGTAAGTTTAATGATTTTTTAACTAACCTAATATGTGTTATTTATGACATATTATTTTCGAAGGTGAAGACAACCGCGAAAAGGGCAAATTGTATAAACCTGGATCAAAGCTGGATGAAAAAAGCGCAGCAGAAAAGGCACAGGAATACGCTAAAATGCTTGCATCGGACCTTAAAAAAGATGTCGTTCCGCTAAAAAAGAAAAGCCAAGAGAAGAAAAAAAGCAATTTAGAACTGTTTAAAGAAGAATTAAGACAGTAAGTTACCGACACCTTTGCCGCACTGTATTAAGTGCTTAATTTCTTTTAGAATACAAGAGGAACGTGAAGAACGTCACAAATACAAACATCTGGCGGGTCAGGCGGTAGCTCAACAGATCGTTGAGAATGCACCCGAAGCACGGGAATCGGGATCATTCGACACCGGTGACCCAAATACAACTAATCTCTATTTAGGCAATCTCTGTCCGAAAGTATATATGTTTTTTTTTCAATATTGTAGAAAAAATTTGTTATAAATTTTATTTTTATATTCATCATTTCAGATTTCAGAACAACAGCTAATGGAAATTTTCGGACGATATGGGCCGCTGGCTAGCATAAAAATTATGTGGCCACGTTCCGAAGAAGAAAAACAAAGAGGTCGTAATTGTGGATTCGTTGCTTATATGAGTCGTAAAGACGCCGAAAGAGCTCTCAGAACTCTGAATGGACGGTACATAATGGGTTATGAAATGCGGCTAGGTTGGGGTAAATCCGTACCAATTATGAACCAACCCATTTTTATACCACCTACACTTTTGGAGCTTACTTTACCACCACCGCCATCTGGTCTACCATTTAACGCCCAACCACCACCTGCAGAAGCTCAAAATATACCAAGAATAAATTACAAAGAATACACCACAGAAGAAGAGAAGGAAAATATGGAAAGGGTAATAGACGTTGATTATTTAAATTTAATGTTTTATCTCAATAAAATGTTTATTAACTTTTATAGATTCTATATAAATCTGTTGTGAAAGTCTTCATACCTACAGAAAAGTGAGTTGATAAAGTTGCTAAATAAAATATCTAATAAATGTTCATATTACATTGCAGAGCGGTACTGAATATTATACATCGTATGATTGAATTTGTCATACGCGAAGGCCCTATGTTTGAGGCATTGATAATGAGTCGTGAAATAGAAAATCCATTATTTTCGTTTCTATTCGACAACGAAAGTCCTGCGCATATATATTATCGATGGAAACTATTTTCATTATTACAAGGCGATACTCCCTCAGAATGGAATGAAAAAGAGTTTCGAATGTTTAAAGGAGGTCCTATCTGGAAGCCACCGATAGCAAATTTTTACACAATGGGTATGCCAGAAGAACTGGTAGTTGATCCAGATGCCAACGTTGTGCACAAAGGTGCACTTTCAAATGCGTACGTAATCATCCAGCAATGATGAAACTTTTTTATTCATAATTAAACCGTTTGATTTTTAGCCAACGCGTTCGCCTAGAAGACCTTTTACGTCATATAACACCTGAGCGCTCACGCATTGGTGATGCAATGATATTTTGTATCGAACACGCTGATGCTGCAGATGAAATTTGTGAGTGCATTACCGAATCGTTATCCAATCCAGACACATTGGTATCAAAAAAAATTGCTCGTCTTTACCTCATATCCGATTTGTTGCACAATTGTACTGTGAAAGTTTCGAATGCTTCATTCTTTAGAAAAGCGTAAATAAAAATAAACATAAATATTGAATGGCAATATTTAATAATTCAACTATTTCAGCATTGAAAAACATTTAATGGAAGTATTCGAAAATTTGCACAATTTTTTCAATTCAATGGAGAGTCGGTTGAAAGCTGAGGGTTTAAAGTCGCGTGTTATCAATGTAATACGAGTTTGGGAGGAATGGACAATATATCCTAAGGAATTTTTGGCAAAACTGAAAAGTATATTTTTGGGAAAACAGGTATATAAGAAGTTATTCACAAAAGAAATAATTTTTCTTATAAACATTTTGTATGGATATAAGTAAAAATATATATATATAAATTAGTTGCCAGTATTAAAAATTTTAGCTTTACATTTGGAGCACTCATTTCTTCCGTAGTCAAATAATCAAATCTTCTAGTATATTGTATATCTACATAAATATATTGTTCCTGGAATTGTTTTATATGAAGATCGCGCCATCACCACCTCCAATAGAGGAAGCTGTAGAAGAACTGCAAGATGACATTGATGGAGCTCCCTTGTCAGGTGATGAAAAAGACGACGAGGACTTAGATGGTATACCATTGGATGGTGCAGCTTTGTTAAAGAGCGCTTTGATGAGGGGATTGCCAGAAGCGATGTCAATACAAAAAACTACACCCACAAGGCGGGGTACAGGTATTGAAGAAGATGACGACATCGATGGAGTACCATGTAAATTCTATATCAAAAATATTTACAAATTAGGTTTGTTGAAATTAATCCATTTCTTTCTTAATCGCAGTGGACGAGGACATTGATGGCATACCTTTGGAGAAACTACCTTCTGATCTCAGCGATGTTCAAATGAGATCAAATGCCAAGAGTGGTGCGTTCATACCATCGAAGTGGGAAACAGTTGATCCCGAACAAGTTGAAGCTCAGGCAATCACAACTAGTAAATGGGATACTTTGGATCCACCACAAGCACCAAAGTTTTACGACTCTAGTGATGATGAACAGATCAGCAATAATGTTGCACATCATTACGACGACGATAAACGCACAAAACTACGTGAAATTGAAGTAAAAACAATGCAATATCAAGATGAGCTAGAAGCAGGGTTGAGAGATCTAAAATCTGGCTGGACTATAAGTGAACAAGTTGAATACTTTAGGCGGAAATTACTAAAAAGGGTTAGTAATTCGGCAAGAATTGAAAGTGGATAAAAATAATATTTTGTGATTTCTTATAGGACACTGATGTAGCAGATTCACCATTATCGTTTATCAATACGAAGGAAAGTCGTCGAGGGAGTGAATCTCCAGATAGCACCAGCAGACGAGCACGTCGTGTTAAGCGGTCGCCTTCGCCAGTACAATATAATAGTAGCAGTTCACGATCATCACCAGCGCGTGCAAGTTATAAACGATCACGTTCTCCACTAACTACACGACGCGAAGTATCGCCTACGACTTCTGGCACGCGCAGCGTTAAATCCTCCAGACGAAATCGTTCACGTTCCCTTTCCGACTCGCCAAAAAAGTATGCAGAACGCACAGTATATTTATCAAAATCAGCTCGATATGAAAATTCACCACGTTCCCGCAAATCGCCTTCCCCAGGCTACTCATCGTCGCGTTCAACTAAACGTGATGATAGAGAACGAGAATATCGTAACGAGAAGCATAAAAGCCGCCATAAGCATTGAATTCAGATGGAAGGATACATCGTAAATGTATTTAATATAAGCATTTCCAATAATTAAGCAATAAAAAATAATAAAATTTATTTAATGAAACTTACACGTTTTCATGATCATGGTTTAATAAGTTCGGTATGTAGGTATACTTTAAATATCAATGGAAATAAACTAGAATACGAGGCAGAAATAAGCCATAGCCAATTTTTTAGCTTGAAGAATTTCCTTATCACAAATTTACCATATTACTTTAACGTTATTATATACGTTTTATAGATATAAATTCAGTACAGTTTCTTCAAAAAGAATTGATTTCGCTTTCTTGCTTATAAATCTCTATTATATCTTCAATAATTTCCCAGTGTTTTTCTTTTGTCAACTCACTGACAAATGGCTGAAAGACAATTGGTAAACAGATTAAAATAAACAGATTTATATCGTATAATTGAACTTACCGTATACCACATGGACGCTTCATCGGATTCATCAGCAAGTGGGACCTGAATGCCATACGATTGTAATGCTAAAGACAGACAACATATTGCGACGTGTGACGGTTTGTGGTTAAGGATTTTTGAGCTGTGATGCAAATCTTGAAGAAACGATGCTGCTGACTTTGCTATCGGCACTGATGACCAAATGGTATGACCTAACCAAGATTGCAGCGTTTTCATATAGTAAAGCAAATACTGTTGTAAAAATTGTAATAAATATTTATTTGGTACACATGGAAGCATAAAGTTGCGTAATACTACCTTGTGTGGATGTTCAATGTTCAAATCAAATTTCAAAGTGCGAGCGATTAGCAACTCCGCCTGGACTATGGCATCGCGTATTGACCAATATTCATCTCCTAATTCTAGTGGTGGCGTGTCACGATTTAAGGTGTTATGTGTAATATTAATAACATCTCGAATTTTTACAGGATCGTCTTTAATTTTTCCTGCTAGGTATAATGCAGAAGCAGCAATAAGCTGGGGAAAAAAAAACATAAACATCAATAACAAAATTGAATTATATGTACGTATGCATGTAGAGTTGTAAATTTTTTTTATTAATCGACTTACATATTCATCATAGTCAGTACTTGATACTTCTTTAAAGAAGCGGTGAAAAATTATAGCTGCACTTGCTGAGGTTAGTGGTTTAATTTGCAGTTTAATAGCGCATTCAAATAGGAAACGTGGCACAACACCAGGCTTATCCACTTTGCTGAAATTATTACAATTAGGTGGGAGGTTTTCGAATTACGATATTCACTTTACCGATAGTCTGTTGGTTTTTGTTTTTGAGTTTTATTCGCTTCAGATCGCTTTTGAACTGACATCACGTCCAATAAGTTCTTCATTGTTATTCCTTTAATAGCCCTATGTTAATATAAAAATTTGACATTTTTTTAAGTTAATATGTTTATAACTTATCCAATTTTACTAAGGCATTACTTTCTAATAAGCGTACTTTATTAACTATTATGCTATTTGAATAACGTCAAAACTGGTTATTTGACCCCAATGAAAACTAATGGCGAACACTATTTTTGATTTCGTAAGGCAACTACAAATTTAAAAATTAATGCATTTGTCATAATTTCACAGAGTTACTCTGAAATTTTTTATTTATTTATTTATAAATGTGAAAAAAAATAATAATATTATTTTATTTACACGAAAGTGTAGTATCTGAAATTTTTTAATATTTTATGGTTTTTCTGCTATATATTTAAAACTAAACTCTTCAATGGACAATATACATATGTTAGCATTTATAAATTAGTCTAATATACAGTGCACACATGTCATGTTTATACACGTTATTTATTCCCCCAACCACCCCACACTCTTATAACGCAAACAAAACATAACATAATTTACTTAATATTATAAAATGTATGTGATTTTTGTTTTATTAGGACTTTGTTATTTTGTTTTGTTCTCGACTTACCAGAAATAACAAATTATGTACACATGAAATCTATACTTTAACAGCAAGCAAAATATGTTATTCACCAAAGTAAACTTTGTAATGCACTGTAAATCAGAGAAGAGATCGGATAAAACTATCGATCAGTGATGCCAATTTTTAATTAGAAAAAAGGCCAAAATTTATTAAAAATCATTTTATTGTGCAGACAACATAATGTTTTATGAAATACAATAATTTTAACAGTTTGTAATTAACAAAGATAAAAATTTATATATTTTCTTTCCACATTCTCTTTAGCTTTATCTATTTAGCTTTTTGCCTTCAAATTCAAATTTTTGTATCAAACTTGGCAACCATGTTTATTAGGTGTCAATACCTACCATTATTGATTTTTATATTATTAGTAGATGTGTTAATCGCATTTTTGTAAGTGGGAAAAGTTTTTGTTAAAGGTGAACGATTTAATAAAATTATTTCATATTATTGAAAGTACATATGAATGTTTATTAACAATAGAGTTTTTATAGCGGTTAATCGCAGCAATTTCCGAGTATCAAAAAGGCGTTGGAAGTATACACATATCACTGTTCCGTACATATTTGAGTGAGAATATTGTACATCGGTTCATTAGTATATTGCATATAAAAAAAGTTATACAAAATATAAAAGATATACAAAGAAGGTTTAAGCCATACTTCAAGTAGCTTATGACATATTAAATGATATACTCTAGTAGTTTATCAAATCTGCATAGCTACTTCCGCTATTCAAACCCATAAATAAATAGATTATCAGTTGCTGTTGTTGTTGTTGTAACGGCAGAATTCTGCCGAGTTGACAGTCCTTGGCCGGATATAAATCCGGGTCCGTTCCGGTTTTCGTAGACCCGATTGTCGTGGAAACGGATTATCAGTTATCAGTTGCTATTACATATTGGTGAAATTAGAGATTCGCTTAAATGAAGACATACTAGAATTTGGTACAGGGAACTGAACAAGTGAGGAAAATCTGAGGGCTGAAATTTTTCAAAAAATCGGGGTGGTGCAGCACTTTCCCAGGTTTAATTAACATATCTCCTAAACCTCTAGAGCTGTCATCACTAAATTCACCCCTACCAACAGTGTGACAATATGAAATCGATTGATAATACCTCCCACCTCCCATAAAAAGTGTTTTCTGAAATATTAAAAGTGCGATAATTCAATAAAAGTGTCATTGGCATTAAATTTTGCAACCGGGATGGTATAAAAGGACATTATAAAAGCCCGCATCAAAATTGGACACTGGGTGTGGCAAATTCGGTGGGTAATACGGCCTACCATTCCCATGTTATATAGCGAAAATTAGCGGGATCGGACAATTGTCACGTCTCATAATAAACAGTATAATATGTCTGTATGTCAAAAATGGATTATTCAAGTATAAACTTCCCTTAGCTGATATATATGTACTTACTTAATAAGGGTATCCCAATGTGAGCGCAAGATTTACAATTGCCGCCATTTCTAAATGTCTTTACAGTTGATGAACTTATAACCTATTCTGATCATATTATTATAAAGACGCGTTGTTCTATCGGGTAACGCTCCATTTTTACTAAAAGTGCCCATACACGACACACTAGTGCTTTCGATCGGTATGTGTGCGCATGCGGTTTACTCGTGTATGGGCTTGTGTGCGTACCGATCCATGTTCGCATATAGCCTTGTGTGCGCACAAAATCTCATTTCTCTCGTGTCGCCGAACAATGGCAAGTGTTAATTAGGTAGCCTTAGCGCTGCGTACTTTAGTTTATTTAATAATTTGTTTATTATGTAAGCTTTAATAAAAAAAAAAAATAAATAAATAAATAAAAATTAGGTAGCCTGCTTTAGAGGCTTAAAAAAATCGATTTTTTTGAGGACTTTTTGGGAAGGAAAGAAATAATTTATTCAAGTGAAATTTCTAGACTTTATAGTTATATATTTGAACATCTTTCACAAATTTTTTGGATGCGAAACCTTTGATATTCTTCCTATGGGAAGCAATTGCCCGATGCATCTCGCATGTGCATTTTTCTTACGGCGAGCAGGATGCAAGTCGCCATTTCTATCAGAAACAAAAAATTCTAAGAGATTCATATTTTTTAATAACTTATTTTCTAGTTAAACTAAGAAAATTCCAAAAAAAAGTGTAAAATTTTAAACAAAATTTAAAAATTAAAAAAGGGTTTTTGGTCCAAAAGAAATTTTACTTAATGCTGTTTAAAAATATGTTCAAACATGACTTTTCTTAGTTTATTTATTAGGTTTAAATAGAAGTTAAAGATCCTAAACTTTGCCCCATATTTCATATGACGTTTAGTCGCCAAATAAGAAAAATCGTAAAAATGAAAAACTGAAAAATCGGGCGTCAAAATAATAGTTACACAATTATTTTTCAAGTAAAGCTCATGAATAAAAAGTTTTATTTAAATTGTTAAGAAAAACGCAAACGTACTTATATTTTTCAAATATTTACAAGCTTATTTATTTAAACTTCATTTAAAAAAAAGGAAAACAAACAAATGTAGATCCAAAAACATTTCATAGCTAAAATAAACTTGCTCAAAAAAATACTTTTAATAAGACAATTATTTTGGAAAAACAAATTATGATAAAACAGTTTTGTTGTATATTTAACATTACTCAGTTAATAGCCAGTATATCCACCATTATTCTGGATTACTTTATTTATTCGTTTGGGCATACTACTGATTAAAGTTTGACAGGTTTCTTTAGGTATCTCATACCAAGTTTTTTGTATGCACTCCCATAACTGGTGTTTGTTAGAGAAAGATTGACTCGCCAAAATTTTTTTTAGTTCTCCCATAGGTTTTCTACTTGATTTAAATCCGGGGATTGGCTTGGCCACTTCAAAACGTTAACATTATTATCTTAAAAATATTTTTTAACTAGTTTGAAGGTTTGTTTTGGGTCATTATCTTGCTGATATACCCAATGTAATGGTGAGTTTTCTTCAGCATAGGGTATCATGATATTTTCAAGTATTTCCTTGTACTCCGACGCTATCAGTTTGTTAGCTGTCCGGTATATAGGACCTACTCCATACCAAGAAAAACATCCCCACATCATGACGTTTCCAGCTCCATGCTTCACTGTTTTTTTTTTTTTTGTKAATCGAACGTGAAATTCCTTTACTTTTGGACGACGCACATTTATCTCACAATCGTTTCCAAACAAATTTACTTTCTTTTCATCGCTCCATAAGATGTTTCTCCACTTTTTTGTTCCCTCAGGTCCTGACCAATCTAAATGACTTCTTGCAAAATTAAACCTCATATCTAAATTTTTTTATCGCATTAATTGAACTTCCCTGGCTATACATACTGGTATGACCATAATGAAACTCGGAGAGCACTTTTGTAATATTGCCTATAAATGTTTATATAATATTGCCAAAATAGATCTTCAAACCTCCAGTATATGACTTATCCGTTTATAAAATTGAGTTTTTAATAATAACAAAATTTGTTAATTTTCAATAAAATATTTTTTTAAGAACTGGTCTTCTATGATTTTTATTTTTAAGGAGCAACAGTAATCTTCCATAATGGGACAATCCCATCAACTGTGATATTTTTCTTCCATCACTTATATACTCTGGGGAATCGGTTCTCCCGATTCCTCACTATAACTTCCAAAATTATCCGAAAATGTATCCAGAGGAATACGGAAATAGTCAAACTTGATATTCATATTTGGTTCTAAAGTCTGAAAGTTTGTCACCATATTTCTTCATATTTTGGCGGTTTACTTCTAAAATTCTAATTTCCGAAACAGCCATAACCTTGATAACATCTGTGTCATTCTCAAATACGGCATTTGAGAACCATCCAAATTTCGTTTTTCCTCTTTTGCATACTAAATTTTTGAAATTTTCTGCAACCGTTGTGAAAGCAATCTCCCCGCGTCCAAAGCTTTGACAAATTGATTTAAAATTCCTAAATGTGTATTACTTTTTAAACGCTAAGTGGGTTTTTCATTGTCTAGATAAGTTCACGTTTGAACTTTATTAACAACTTGCCCATATTAATTAGGGATCAAACGTTATATTTGTTTTCGCCAAAAAGGTGCGAGGTAAAAATTAAATTTTATTACTAAGAAGCTGACAACTGATAGAAATTTAGGATATTCAATAATTCCAAAGATTTTTTACATATGTATGTATTAGAGCGAGGGAGAGATAGTTCGAATGCAACTGAACATTTTATAATTATTTTGTTTATTTCTTTCCAATTTCAATTATATGATTTCTATGTGGCGTTTCCGATATTTTTATTATGCCATGATTTGTAATTTTCTTTCCATTGTATTCAATAATGTTTACAAATTAATCACGAAAAGATATATTCAAAAACAACGTTTACAAATTATTCAATTTTATTATCAAAATTATCGTTCTCCAATTGCAACTTTTCGAGGGCTTTTGCCATTGGTTCTCCCTACTCGCCGAATTGTTAAAAAAGATTTCGAGCGTACCTTTTCTTTACATAATGTTCCAGTGGCAATAAGACAAAGAATAGTAGTTCAGGCATGTATTGCTGAATACCGTAATTTGTCGACTCC